ATCCAGCCCTGCACCTTGTTGTCACGGAAATTAGGAGCAGGGGGGAGGCCCTTCAAGCCTGCTCCACTATTCACTGTATTCACAGGCTGATCATCCAATGGAGTCCCCTCTTCCTGCTATCTCCCCCATATCCTTTGATCCCTTTAGCCCTAAGAACTACATCCAACTCCTTCTTGAAGTCATACAATATTTTGACCTTAACCGCTTTCTGTGGCTCTACAGGTTCCCCACTCTCTAGGTGAAGACATTTCTCCTCATCTCAGTCCGAAATGGTTCACCCAGTGTCCTAAGATACTTACTGTTAATCTTGGTGAAGTCAGCCTTTCTAGCGTTAAAGATGTCCGTTATTCCCATCGCTGTCAGTGACTTCCTCAGATCCACCTCACTATCCAGGGAAAATCTACCAAAGGAGAAAAAGAAATATGTACAAACAAGATAAGCCTGGTGAAGATTTTAGCCCAGTGTTTGAAGCCCAGGTTTAATTAACTGGAAGTTATCACCATTATGTTTATTTTACATCGACCTGTTTCAGATTTATTTTGACATATCTCCAAGGTTGGCACATCCCAAGGTGGGATTTGAACCGGGTGGGAGGTGAAGGCACAGCGATGATGCTACTGGACTAGTCATCCAGCACCTTGCCACCACAGCAGATGGTGGAATCTCAATTTGATATAGATCGCCCCCTGATGGTTACCGTGTAACCGCAGTCAATTTTTGCTAAAGACAATAGCCATTCTAGTCCACAAATGTTTTGGGATGATCTACCGTCCTGGCCGACATGGGACTCCAGACCCACAGCAATGTAGTTGGCTCTTAACTGCCCCTTTCAACAAGGCCAATTAGGGTGCATTGAGTATAGGAGTTGGGACATTATGTCGTGGCTGTACAGGAGATAGGTAAGGCTACTTTGGAATATCATGTAGAGTTCTGGTCACCCTGCTTTAGGAAAGATGTTGTGAAACTTGAAAGGGTTCAGAAAAGATTTACAAGGATGTTACCAAGACTGGAAGGATGTTATGTTGCGGCTATACAAGACATTGGTAGGGTCACATTTGGAATACTGCATTCAATTTTGGTCACCCTGCTATAGGAAGGATGGTATTAAACTGGAAAGGGTTCAGAAAAGATTTACGAGGATGTTACCAGGACTGGAGGGGTTGAGTTATAAGGAGAGGCTGGATAGACTGGAGCCTTTTTCCCTGGTTGGAGACTGAGGGGTGACCTTATAGAGGGTTATAAAATCATGAGGGGCACGGACAGGGTAAGTAGACAAGGTCTTTTTCCCCAAGGCAGGGGAGTCTAAAACTAGAGGGCATAGGTTCAAGGTGAGAGGGGAAAGACTTAAAGGGACCTGAGGGGCAGAGAGTGGTGTACATATGGTATGAGCTGCCAGAGGAAGAGGTGGAGGCTGGTACAATGACAACATGTAAAAGGCATCTGGATTGGGTACATGAATAGGGGTTTAGAGGGATATGGGCCAAATGTTGGCAAAATGGGACTAGATTAGTTTGGGAAACCTGGTCAGTACGGCTGAGTTGGGCTGAAGGGTCTGTACGACTCAATAAATGCCCACATTCCACAACAAATATTTTTTAAAAACCCAACACACTGTCACCCTCTGAACACGATCAGATTATCGACACACTCAGAGGGACAGACGGCCTGGAGTTAATCTCCAGGTGAGTTGAAGATTCTGTCTGTATGATTGTATATTCAAAGCCGCACTATGTTAGCAAAAATGTGTGTGGGTGCGGCTCAAGGGTTAAAGAGTGACAGACTGAAAGGCCTAGTTAAAGGTCAAAAGCAGATCGAACTGAAAGCAGAACGGGCTCGAGGTGTCGAATGGCCTAACGTGTGCTCAGGCCAAGTAGGCCTTAAGCCTGCCCGCTCACAGGGACTAACCTTGCCCCCACCCCGTGCGATGAGAGGGTACTCAGGACCCCAGCTCTGGCTGAGGGACCCGTCTCCTCCACCCTCCCCCCGACCCACCGCCCGGTGCCAGCGATGCCGCCCCCATCACACTTACTTTGGCAGGACGAGTTGTCGCTTGACGGTCTCCAGGCTTCGTGTCCACTCATCGACCAGCGAGACGGTGATGATGTCCGTGAGGGCAGAGAGCGGGACCTCCTTGCGGAACGGGGCCACGATGTACATGCTGAGGGTCTCGCCATGGTAGGGCAGCTCGATCACGTCGTAGTCCAGGCCGCTGGGGGTCATAAACTCACCTGCAGGAAGAAGACCAAGCCAAATGAGACTCGTTCTAGTTTGGGGAAACTTGGTCGGCATGGAGGAGACGGACCGAAGGGTCTGTTTTCCATGCTGTAGGGTTCTATGGCAGAGTCTCAAAGTAACCACCAGCCCCCCCAACACCTGCCAGGCATTCTGCACACCTTCTTTGACCCCGTTTGGCACCCGCTGGCACTGCCGACGCTCCTTAATTCCTAGGAGAAGTTGGCGAACAGCATGAGGAAGAGCTGAATCTTCAGGAGCGACAAAAGAAGGACCAGGAATTTCAGGGAGGGAATCTCAGGAGCCTTGTATCCAGGCAGCCGGGAGGGGAACAACAGAGGGGACCAGGAGTTTCAGGGAGAGAATCTCAGGAGCCTTTCATCCAAGCAGCCGGAAGGGGAACAACAGAGGGGACAAGGAGCTTCAGGGAGGGAATCTCTGGAGCCTTGTATCCAGGCAGCTGGGAGGAGAACAACAGAGGGGAAGGCAAACACATGCACTCAGACCAGCGGGAGCTGTTCACTCACTGGCATTCAGCTTGGCGCTCTGCGACATCATTGGCACCAGGATCTTGGTGCCATCCTCCTTGTAGAATACTCGCTGGTGGGTGGCCTCAGTGGGGAATGGCATCTTCCAGAGCCCCTTGAAGTAGACGGCATTGATCAGAACCATGCGGGTCAGAACCGGGTCCAGCATACCCGGGCGGAGAAACTTGGGGATCATGCCTGGCATGGGGCAGGACCAAGACAACAAGAAATCCAGTTAGACTGTTTAACACTGGCAAGTCAAAGCTAAAACCCAGACCACCCCCACCACGGTCAGCTCAACACTCGCTGCACGCAGACGAACCTGTACTTCCCTCTTGTCATCAGGTAACGCGCCCCCCAGATTCACCCCATTCCCACTGATTTTGTTTCTGAAGAAATGTTTTGTTCGAACATTAAGCTCAGCATCACAAGCTCAAGTTTACCTTGCTACCTGATTACTGTATCAAACCCTCCCAGGATAGGGACAGCATGGGGTTAGATACAGAGTAAAGCTTCCTCTACACTGTCCCCCTTCAAACACTCTCAGGAAAGGGACAGCACGGTGTTAGAGGTAGAGTAAAGTTCCCTCTACACTGTCCCCCATCAAACACTCCCAGGATAGGGACAGCTGCCCAGCCGCATCGCTCCGAGTTGGTGCTGTGTTGCACAGTTGCTGGGAACTCACCTCTGGTTTGTACTTCCACCCATTTGTTGATGAGGTAGGTCGCCGTGTTGGCATCCTGGAAGTAGATCTGTTTGGGCCACCCGTTGAAAGCACGGCGGTAACTTTTCAGGTAGGCATTCTGGAGCCGCATATTCCTCTGAATGAACACACTGTTGGCCGAGTAGACAATGTCGCGGTTGCTCTTGGCGGTCAGGTCTTTCTGGAGATGTTTCAGGGCGAGTGGCACACCCTTGTCTGCCCAGAGAGAGAAGAAATCCGACTGAGACTGGAGCTCCCAATGCCCAGCTCCTGACCATCACCTCCTCAAAGACGCCCATCTCTTCAAACATACCTTTGCCCGCCTGACCCAGAGACTCAGTCTTACTTTCAGGTTTGGTGCTAGCCTTGACCCACTCAACTACCATCACTGCCTGACACCCAGTTGGCATCTGAATGCCAAGTTGTTGTTATAGAGTGGGGTCATAGGAGGGGCCAACATATCAAAGACCCCCATATATCTCACCAAAGAGAGCCCTCTCTGGGAGAGAGAGAGGGAGAGAGAAAAAGAAACAGAGAAAGAGAGAGAGAGACAGAGACAGAGAGAGAGCAAAAGACGAAAGAAAAACACACCGGGCACCAGTTCCTGGTTCACGCCCAATGGCAGAGATGGCCCAGATGGACAGACATTTTGCCCCCTTCCTCCCAGAGAGAGGGTCTTTCAGAATTGGGCAGAGGAGGTTCGAGACTCAGGGCAGGGGGACATGTCTGAATTTGAAAGGAGCGGGAGCTGAGGTCTGCACGCCTGGAGGAGAGCAGGGCAGGGGGTGTCACATAGGAGCAGGAAGAGACCATTCGGCCCAACGAGCCTCTTCCACCATTCAATCAGATCATGGCCTAACTCCATCTAGCTGTCTTCATTCCTTTGCTTAGCAAGAACGTCATTTTCTCTTTTGGATGGGGCTTGGTGGTGTGGGAGGGTCAGAGAGCAAGCTGAAGGGAGCCAACAGCAGCTGCGTTTAACGTATAGTTGGGTGGGGGCGCGGGGTGGGGGAGGGATGGTCAGCTGTTTAGTTTGGGATCCCTCACATCTAGGGAATCCGAGTGGAAATGGGACAAGGGTCGAGACATGGTGACCACGAGGTTGGGTTTAGGAAGTTTGTAGAGTGAGGCCGGCGATAAGGCCCTCTGTGAGGGGGTGCTTGCTGCCCCAAGGTGGGACCCCGCAGCGGCCATTTTGTGTACAGCAAGATCCCGCTGAAACGCAGCTCCACGTGGCACGCACATGCCCCTCTCCACACGAAGATTTTTCTCCCAGCAATCTTTGACAACGTCTCCCGAATGCCAGTCTCCCTGCACGCACCCTCCTCCCCTTCAAGACTCCTTTGTGACTTCTAATGGTGAATAACGAGCCTTATTTTCACCAGCCTTTGCCCCTGCTGCTTGCTGTAGCCAGAACCTGAAAGGGAGCACCCCATGGGGGAGAGCTCAGTGTGGGTGTTGGGATCTGGCAGTCATGTCCCAGGCCTGGTATGATTCCGCAATACTGACTCCCACCACCGGAGGCCCTCAGTTAGCCATGCAGACAGGAGGCCAGGAGGCAATAGAAAGAGGACTAGGTCATTCAATAGGATCAGGGAACATTCCTACAGCTCTCTGTGGCAAGGAGTTCTCTGAGAGAAGAAATTCCTCCTCATCTCAGTCTTAAATGGGCGCCCCTTTATTCTGAGACTGTGCCCTCTGCTCCTAGACTCTCCCATGAGGGGAAACATCCTCTCAGCATTGACCCTTAAGGATCAATGAGATCACCTCTCATTCTTCTAAACTCCAGTGAGTAGATTCCCAACCTGTTTAGTCTTTGCTCATAAGACATTCCTCCCCCTACAAAATGCAGGGATCATCCTTGTGAAATGATGTCTTTCCTTAAATAAGTCGGCACAAAGCATCTCAATTTGGTTAACAAACTAAAGGAACAGTACCTCAATATTATCTTATGCTTAGGCACTTCACTGCCTCTTGAATTTCACATTGCATGGAGGAGCTACAGACCATGAACAGGGTCCTCTAATTTGTTTATACCCCTTCCCCCCCTTAACTCTGTGTCTTGTTTGCTCTCAACAGAAGTGGGTCATTTCTGACTATTAACACCTATCCCACATCCATATCATTCCTCTACCACCATTGCATTTTGCTCTGGGCTCCATCCAGTTGTTCCTCCCTTTTGTCAACAGTATATACAATTAAATCATTTTTCCAGTCCTCAGTTGTGCAGAAGAGTCATTAATTCTGTTTCTCTCTCTTCACAGATGCTGCCAGACCTGTTGTGTTTACCTATGGTCTGTGTCTTGTTTTTTCATAGTTTTGCTTTCAGCCAGAGATATCTTTATTCTGGCAAAAGCAACTTATGCCAAATCAAAGCTTTGTCTTCTCAACTACAGTCACCCTTCCTTTATCCCCTGTTCTTTGGCCCCCATTGATTTCCCTTAATCTTTCCCTGATCTGCCTCTTCTGTTCCTTTATCCCTCTGTAACACCATAAGGCCCAGGATGTTTTGGAATGCTGCGTTCAATTCTGGTCTCCCTGCTATGGGAAAGATGTTGCTAAATTTGAAAGGGTTTAGAAAAGATTTACAAGGATATTGCCATGGTTGGAGGGTTTAGGCTGTGGGGATGGGCTGGGGCTATTTTCCCTGGAGCATCGGAGGCTGAGGGGTGACCTTATAGAGGTCTATAAAGTTATGAGGGTTGGGGATAAGGTGAACAGTCGAGGTCTTTTTCCCCAGGGTAGGGGAGTCCAAAACTACAGGCCATAGGTTTAAGGTGAGAGGGGAAAGATTTAAAAAGAGACCTGAGGAGCAACTTTTTCACACAGAGGGTGGAACGAGCTGCCAGAGGAAGTGGTGGGGGCTGGTACAGTTACAACATTTAAAAGACATCTGGGTGGGTACATGAATAGGAAGGGTTTAGAGGGTTATGGGCCAAATGCTGGCAAATGGGACTAGATTAATTTAGGATATCTGGTCAGCATGGACAAGTTGGGCTGAAGGGTCTGTTTCTGTGCTGCACTACTCCATGACTCTAAGGGTCATAAGAACCGAAAGAACTGCAGAAACAAAAACAGAAGTTACTGGAAAAGCTCAGCAGGTCTGGCAGCATCTGTGCAGAGAAATCAGAGTTAATATTTTGGGTCGAGTGACCCTCCCTCAGAACTCTAAGACTCTCTCTCCCTCTCTCTCTCTCCTGCCAGATGTTGCCAGACCTGCTGAGTTTCTCCAGCACAATGTCTGGTGTTATTGCAATTGGCAAGCTGAGCAAGCAATTTCACTGCTTGTTTCCTTAATCTCTAGCTCTGATCTCCCTACGCCCACATAACAAGGCGTATGGAATTATTCACACCTGGCTGTGTGTGTACCGTCTGACTAAGAGCAAAAAGCAGGATAAGACAGAAGACTGATTCACATTGATATCTATCTGTTGAAACACACTTCCGACACGAGTCCCTCACCTTCCCAGCCTTCCAGGGCAGGCCCGCTCCCAGTACAAAACACAGGCAGGCGCAGAATGGAAAGTGAAATATTCTCTCTCTCTTTCTGTCTGAAAAAGAGTGAGTGAGTGAGGCGCACACTCATTCACTCCCACACAGATAGAGAGAGGGGCACACAGACATAACTCTCACACAGAATCACACTCATCCACAGTGAGGGAGACAGAGGGAGAGAGAGAGAGTGAGGCACACACAGAGACAGACATACACAGATGTAGAGAGAGACACAGAAAGAGAGAAAGAGACAGAGACAGATGGAGAGAGAGACAGATGCACAGAGAGAAAGAGACAAAGACAGATGTGCAGAGGGAGTGAGAAATGGAGACGCACAGAGAGAGAGCCACACACACACAGATGCATAAAGAGAGACTCACAGATGCAGAGAAAGACAATACAGATGCAGAGAGAGAGAGATGCAGACACACACACACAGATGCTGAGAGAGAGAGATACACACAGATGAAGACAGAGAGAGAGAAAGGCTGATGCAGAGAGACACACACACAGATACAGAGAAAGAGAGACACACATGCATAGAGAAAGAGAGAGAATGCATGCACACACAGATGCACAGAGAGAGAGAAAGACAGATGCAGAGAGAGACACACACAGATGCAGAGAGAGAGACAGATGCGCAGAGAGAGAGACAGATGCACAGAGAGAGAGACAGATGCACAGAGAGAGAGAGAGAGAGACACACACAGATGCAGAGTGGGACACGCACAGAGAGAGAGACAGATGCAGAGAGAGACACACACACAGATGCACAGAGAGAGAGAGAGACAGATGCAGAGACACACACAAACAGATGCAGAGAGACACACAAACAGATGCAGACAGAGAGAGACAGATGCACAGAGACACACACACAGGTGCACAGACAGACAGACAACAGCAAGTTTCCCTGTGTTAAACACAGGGGTGTATCTCTGTACTGAAGCCAGCGTTTCATTTACAGAGCTCACCACCCCCCGGATCCCGGGCTCACCTTTCAGCCGGTATCCCATGGCATTCCACAGCTGCTCGAGGGTGTTCCCAGCCGCTCCCAGTTGAGCCATTCCCATCAGGGCCGTCGCTCCGTACGGCGAGAGCACCACGTTTCGGTCACCGACCGACGCGGCCACTTCCCGGAACAGACGGATCCCGAAATCGGCGCCGAGCTCGGGGACGGTGGATCCGGTGTCAGCCCGGCAGAGGGCGGCTGCGACAAGCAGGAAGCTGGCCAGGGATTGGGAGCTGATCATCGCGGCGTTTCTGGGCTGAAAGGAAAGGGTGGACTAGTCATTTCTCAACGGGACAAACCCCAGACCCAGCGTTACCGGCTCACGGTCAGCCCTGTGCAGAAATTGGCTGCTCAACCGCAACGCAGAGCAATCGCAGCGCAGAAGGAGGGCATTCGGCCCCTTTTGTCTTCACCCGAGGGCCAGCAGAGACAAGGGGCTTTTGCCTTTGGGAGGAGAGATTGAGCGCTTTATGTGGAGCTGAGAAGAATGAGAGGAGACCTAATTGTGATCTACAAGATCCGGAAGAGGATTGACAGCAAGATTCCAGCACATGGAGCACTCTTTGGAAGGCTCCGAGCGGTGCTAAAGAAATGCAAGTCCATCTGTTTCTGTGGCGAGGATTGGGAGCAGGCATTAAGACACAGATCTTCAGATGTGGCAGAGGGCCAGCATATCTGATCGGAGTTAACTATTTGAACAAAGGGTGTATGTAAAAAAAAACAATCTACTCAGCAAATAAGGGGAGTCTCCTGGCATTAGTGGGCTGGTGGGTGGGGAGGATTATAACAACAATTCTAATTATTATAATAACAGCTTGTTGAATCTGCACTTAATCCATTTGAATAGTTGAGGCAATGATCTCTATTTAACATCCCAGCTCAGAACGACAGCGTGGGAGTCTCTCCTCACTATAGTGGAGTGCTCATGCTCTGGACTGGGACTTGAATCCACAACACTGTGACTCAGAGAGCTCCCCTAGACATACAGAATACAAATATAAACACAATTGCAACAAAGTCACTTCCTGATGGGCACAAAATTAGAGCTCCCTGTCCCGACTCCAGTTGCAAACCAATCTCGAGAGGGACTGGGTAAGTGACACAACCCAGCTGTATTACCCCTCGTAATAACAAAACTCGCTCTCTCTGTCCAGACACCTCCACCCCTGTTGTTTCTCACAGCAGTCAGTTGCAAAGGCAGGCACACCAGTCCCACTTAGTCAAGATAGGCGTAGATTCATGTAGCTAAGCGCATTGATGTAGAGACACAAACAAGCATTCACATTCTCATATATACACACACTTTCTCTCAATCATGCATGCACACAGGGACATAAAATATTAGACAGGGAAACACATACACTAACACAGCCAAGCACATCGATAGACACAACAGGCACGCACACACAGACATGCATTCTCTCGCCCGTATACACACTTTCTCTCAATCACACCACAGACACACACACACACACACAGAGCCAAGCACATCAATAGAGGCAACAAGTGCACACACATTCTCTGTCTCACACACACACTTTCTCGCAAACACACTGACAGACAGACACATGCACACACACACACACAGACACACACATACACAGACAGACACATACACAGACAGACACATACATACACACGCACACACTTTCACTCTCTCGCTCCACAAACACAAACGTTGACTATGCCTGGAGGACCATCAACTCAGTGAAAGACAGACATTCTTTGGTTTGCCCGAAACCTATTGGTCCTCCAGAGCAAGGAGGTGACCCTGACTGAGTGTTGCAGACTGGCACATTCCAAGGTCCAGGACTACATGCTGAGGGACGCACCACAGCTTGGGGCGGCTACCGCCGAGGTTGAATGGGAAAAGACCACTGTCTGAGGTCTTCCTGCTGAAGGTAAATGGTGGCCCATTCAGTTATCGGACCCTCCAAGTGCCTCAAACGTATGTAAATATCATCTTGTACAAGTTAGAAATGCCTTTAGTTTGTTTGTTGGATGGAGTCAAACTCCAGTGTTTGATTGTTTCTTCATATGTTACTGTACAGAACCGAGCTGCTTCAGTGACAATATACGTATATAAAGATATTTCTTATGAATAAAGCACATTTTTGAAATTTTAAAAAATGGTGCACGGAAAAAGACACAGGAGTAAACACACCCACCACACACACAGACACACACACCCTATTAGACCAGGAGACATACATCCATAAACACAGCCCGACAAATCAATAGACACACTAACACATATTCAGTAGCACATATTCACACTCTCTCAATCACACACACAGACACACTGACAGATGCACACCCACACTTGTGCACAATTGATCTCTCTAGATAGTAGCACAACGGTTGCAGAAAGACTTTAGGCCAAATACACACAGACTCAGGGAGACACATACACGCGCGCAAAGATAGGTACATATTCACACAGAGGAGCAGAGGATCAGATTTAATATTACACAGGGAGACAGGCAGGTAGGTATACACACAGAGATGCAAATATAGTGTCAGAAATACAAACTTGCACAAATCTAGTGTCAGGAATAAACACGTGCACAAATATAGGGTCTGGAATAAAAACACAGACAGACACACACACAGTGTAACAAATATAGTGTCAGGAATACATACATGCACAAATGTGGTGTCAGGAATAAACACACACCAATATAGGGTCAAAAATAAACACACGCACAAATATAGGGTCAGGAATAAAAACGCACAGACACATAGAACTGAACATACAGTACTGCACATTGAGTGACTTACAGTACCAGGTAGTGCTTTCTCTCTCTTCTGTTCTCTGCTGCGCTGTTCGCTGTTCGCTGTTTGCTGTTTGCTGTTTGCTGTTTGCTGTTTGCTGTTTGCTGT